CTGATCCCCTGAGTGAAGCCCCAGCAACGCATAAAGTGAGGGTGGCTGTGCCATTAATTGTTATCACTGGTTTCTAATTGTCAACTTTACACTGTCCTTTCAGCATTCAACTCTAATGCCCAGTAATCCTATGCATTGTATTTCTTTAGGTTATACTGTCTATTGAAGAAGGCTACAGGCTTCCAGCTCCCATGGGCTGCCCAGCTTCTCTTCACCAACTAATGCTTCACTGCTGGCAAAAGGAGAGGAACCACCGTCCAAAATTTAGTGACATTGTCAGCTTCCTAGACAAACTGATCCGCAACCCGAGCACCCTTCATACCCTAGTGGAGGATGTACTTGTGTAAGACTCTTTTCGGTACTTTTTTCTTGTATAACGCACAGTGGCTATCATTAGATGTTTTGGGGCATTAAGTAAGGGTGGGGGAGAGCAGCAGAGTTCTGAATTCACAACGTTATGAGGGTTCAAATAACTTGGAGCCCCTTTTAAGGTTTGCTTTATTGTTAATACGCCATTGTATAAGGACTTTTTTCTCAAGCCATGCAGATTATATTAGGCATTTTTTTTTTGTCTGAGATCTGTTTGTGCACTGTCTATCCTTAATCTTTGTGAATCTCTCTGTTTTTTGGGGGTTTTTTTTTGTGCTTCTCCTGTGTGCTTGTTTTCTCTTTGTAATCTTTTTCTCTATTCAACAGCCTGTCTCTCCATCTGACAGTGCTCAAGCAATTTCTGAACTGCCTTGGAGTAATTTTCTGCAGAAAGTAGTTGTGTCTTCGCTTGCTAAATCTTTATTTAGCTGCAGAAGAATGGCAACAGTGACCAAATAAGAGATTATGCTATTACCATTCCACAACAAATTCTTGATGGTGTTGCCTAAAGTTTTTTCCATTAATAATATTACAGAAATGAATGCAGCCACAGGAGAAACAAGGTTGTGGTGGAAGAATTTATCAATTTTTGTAGGCTTACTGATCCAAGGTGTCCCTGGATATCAGCTGAAATCAGTGAAAGTCCAACTGGCCTCACTCTCTTCATTAGCTGAAATTCACCTTAAGATAAAGGTGCTTTCATGGAGACTCCCCTGGGTTTATAAGAGGTTCTCAATGCCTGGGTGGATCTTGCTGAGAACCTCAATGGATTAAGAGGTTTTTTCATAAGGTTTGGAGAAGGGCTGAGCAAAAGGCAAAGACTAAGGCTGGTATCTTGATGTGGGAAAGGCTGAATGGAGAGGTTACTAGGAAAACGTAGAGTTAGGGCTACAGCCATTTCCTCTACCACAAACTAGTGGGACTTGTTGGATTTAATGCCCGTGCGCTAGAGTTAGTGGCCTCTATGTGTATGTGCATATAAATATATATATGTGACTTGCTACTTGTACCTGTGTCACTTCATTTAGCATCAGAGTAATGCATTTTTATCTATTCTTATTTTAAAATGTTACTTAAGATCTAAAAACTTATGCCTGTTTTCTTGCAGTCAAGCTCTTATTGAGCTCACCTGCTTGGGAAAGTCTTTCCATTCATTTGGGAATGCTTAATGCAGTCAATCTGAATGATTATTGTGTTACTGTTAACTTATGAGGTCAGCAGTTATTCTATAGAATCGTACAATCATAGAGTAATTCAGGTTGGAAAGGACCTTGGTAGGTCTCTAATTGAGGTTTGTACTTCACAGTGTTCTCCCGTCCTTCAGTTTCTCTCTCTGTCATTTTGACAATATGAATGAAAATCAGTCTGTTTAAAGTATTTGAATATGTGTGGTTGAAACTCGGTATGTTAAGATACTAGAGTGTGTTGCTTCCTACATTCTACATAAGTCACGTTCCATCAGTTAGTGTTGGCTGGCTTTTGCTATCTAAATTTTCATTTTAAACAAATTATATCTTTCTCCTAAAGGCTATCATAAAGCTTTTACAAACAGCAGTGTGCTTTTTCTGTATTCTGTTCCTACAGTTTCTCTACACAAAATGTACAAAGTCAATGGAAGTTGTGAGCCCTCACCAGCATGGTACACAATGGAAGACTGGAAATATATGCCCCAAAATTGGAATCTTTTTTTTTCCCCCACCTTTCTGTTTCAGTTGTGATAATATTAGGGAAAAGAATTGAAACAGAAATGTGACTAAGCTCCTTCATTTTTATTTGCTACTCTATATAATTCTATGTAAAAGCAAAGATATAAATTTTTATTCTTTTTGCTTCTTTTAGGGTTAGTTTTAGGTTTTGAACACTGTAATCAAAGCATTCCCATTGCATAACGGTATAGCAATAAGGAGCCATTTGGGGTTTTTTTGTAGATAAATGTAAAAATAATCTCGCAGTGTTTTAATATTTTTAAATTGTATCTCATGTTAAATTTTGTTTGTCCTCTACTTTGACTACTGTATTTACAAATTATTATCATCCTGAACACATAAAATCTGTAAAGAAATGCTCTGTGGGAACAAAAATAAGAGCAGTGGGAGAGGTCTGTTCCTCAGTTTGTTACTGAGCTGCAGTGCTTTAAAAAAATGTATTGTTAAAGTAGTGCAACTTGGCAGACTGACATGATTTGTAAGTTTTAAACAATGGGTTAAAGAGATCCACAGTTAAGATCAGACCTTTACAGCTCAGGCTCCTCTCTCATTTCTTCTGCCTTTTCATAAAAACAGTGTCTACTAGAGTAAATCGAGTGTCGTATTTTGTAGTGCTTTGGTAACCTCTGCATTTTGTTTTTACAGAATGCCAGATTCACCTGGTGAAGTTCCAGAATATCCTTTGTTTGTTTCAGTCAGTGACTGGCTGGACTCCATAAAAATGGGTCAGTATAAAAATAACTTCATGGCAGCAGGTTTCACAACTTTGGATATGGTTTCAAGAATGAGTATTGAGTAAGTATGTAATCTATTATCCCTACAGTGACTAATCAATCTGAATTTCTTTGGATGCTGCAGTGACATAATTATTGTGATGTATGGAACAGTGCTTTCATTTCCTTTCCTACCTAAGCTAATAAAAGACAAATACATTTTTTTACCAAAAAGATGCAGGAGAAAGATGTGATTAAGAGACCCAGAACTGACCGTTTCATTCTGTGACCATACCAAACACTGCCAAAGGTCAGGCAGAGAACATCCTTAAATGTTTCTTGAGGAATCAGTTTTGATCTAGACCACTGAAATCAGTGGCAAAAATCTTCTCTTACTTTGCTGTGAAAATCATCAAGCCCATGTCAGTCCTCATGTGGAAGTTGTTCCATGCCTTGCTGCCCTTCTTCAACCATCTCCGACTCCCCTCTATCACTTTTAAAATTAAAACACCGCACCCATTATATAAGGGTTTGGGCATACTATGGATTAATATGGTAGCATAATGATACAATCTACTTTGTTCTCTGTTCCCTTCCCATTAATTCCTAATCTTTTATTTGATGCTGAGACTATCTGTATTAATAATGGTAATGGTCAGTTAAGTCTCAGTAGTTTGGCCAGTGGCCAGTCTTTCAGTGCTCTTTTATACCCAAACCAAATCATCATTAGACTCTACAGACCTCTGGCAGGCTTCTTGTACTCCAGTGAGCTTGCAAAAAATTTTATTATGAGTTTTATTATCAGGTGTCTTTTTCTGGTTTTTCCTCAAGTTCTTTTTTAGCTTGCCTTACTGTGCTTTTACAGATAATCTTCCTAAGGTTATCATCCTTTCTACTTTCTTTCTTTAGATACCACTTCAGCTTTTTGAAAGATTCCTTCTGTCTTCAAATAACCTCTGTCACCCTAGGCCTGCTGTCTTCTTTCTCAATTTTATCAGGCCTTCCTTGATAAGTGCTATGCATTGTTCCTGCATTTCTAATTCCACTCCCCTCTGTAAAGGTTTATTCTTTTACCTGAGTCTTTCTAGCTTCTAAGATGCTCAATATTTTTGCATAGTCCCTGCTGACCTTAAGTGTTGTGTATCATCCCCCACGTGGATGTTAAGCCCAAGTACATAATAGTTTCTGCTATCCAGTGGCTCTTCATCTGGAGGATACAGAGCCAGGTATCTTGAACTGCAAAGCTGAAACTCCTAATGGTCACACCTCATCCCATGAGCTCCTTTACTAGCTATATCATCAAACAAATTTTGAGGGTATCTAAACAGGCGATGCCTATGCTATGTCCCAGGGTGGGATTTGCACCATTGACAGGGCATATCTGAAGCCTCCTGCCTTCGCCACCTCTGTGATCTTTCTCAGCATACTGCAGTTGGTGATGTCTAGAGAACAACGAAACTAGTGGATTGTGCTGGACACTGAGGGCGGTTGACTTCATTCCTGCCAAAGAGTCAGGCTCTGTGGGTGAGCTACACCCTCTAGGGTGCAGGTCTAGATGAGATGGCAGGAAATCGGGAGGGAAATCTGGGTCAAGCTGGAAGATTCACTGCTATTCTGATCTTTAGACTATCTTTCACCACCATTTACCAAATCATCAGAAGCACAGCCTCTGTTATTTCAGCCTTAGGACTCCAAAATAGAGTGTATCAGCCCTGTTCCTTTGCAAGTGTAAGTGCGCAACATTTGCTACAATTTGCCACATTACCAAAAACGGGCTGTTAGAACCCACCTCTTAGGTTCTTCCTCAAGATTTTGAAAAATTGCTTGACCATTAGTATCACAACAGAGACCAGTGCTCTAACTACAAGATTATTTTTTTTCTTAAATGGCTGTCTTTAAATAAATTTGGAATTGATGGGTGCAGAAAACTTGAATATTTGCAGCATTCTTGTATGTCCCAGTCAGGAAAGTAAACTGTCCTGAAGGAGAGCAATTCATCATATATTTATAGACTTTTGTGTGCAAGAGGCTTTACTATACTTGCATCCAAGATGAAACTTTTTATCTTGCAGTGACATTAGAAGAATTGGAGTTGTACTCATTGGACACCAGAGACGAATAGTCAGCAGTTTACAAACTTTGCGGTTACACATGATGCACATACAGGAGAAAGGATTTCATGTATGAAAGTACTGGAATCAACTGTGTTTTGTGCCTCAGCATTTCTAAAATGGAAAAATATTCTCATTCTTCCCTTCTGCTCTTCCCAACTTCAAGAACTGCAGTCTCCTGTTCAGATTATAAAAGTACTTCTATGTTAATGCTTCCAAACTGGAATTTTTATTCACACTGCATAGCTCCTCCGCCAGTTATCTGCCGATAAAATCCTGGCCTACTGCAAGACTCTCGCTACACATTGATGAATAACTCAGCATGGATGTGTAACTTTGTATAACAGTATTTGGGAAACTTTCATGAACTTACTTGAAAGTAGTAATCTACTTGGCCTGGTGTGGCTTCTTTATCTATGTATTTAGAGTTTGCTGGTAGATCAAAAAGTATCTGACTTCTTTCATGTTCTGTGACCATGTAACTTCCAATACTAAATGTGCAATCAAGAAGAAGTTCGACATAAGTATTTATTTTATCTCTTAATTAAATCCAAATGTATGGGTCCTATCATTATATTACTTTATGATAGTTTAAATGCTGGTAAGCCGGTGCCTCAAAACATTAGTATTGTTTGCAGAAATGACTGATGATTTTATGTAGCAAGTTTTCATTGTGTGAATAATTGGGAGGATAGTGAGAGAAATCTGTTTGAAATCTTAAGGTCCTTGATTTTGAATTACTTTAGCACTCGACACTTTTTATGCTTTAAATTTTAGATTAGCTTGGAAAACTTGTTCATCCTTGGGATTCTTCACCACCCTAGACCTTCTTTTTTTTTTTTTTTTTTTTTTAATACTCAGCATTTGCTTCTACTATGTGGCAAATAGTCACTGGAAAACTGATTGTAACGTTTCCATAACCATGTGTAAAGCATGGTTATCAGCTATACTGTGGCCACATAGACTTCAGAAAGCTTTCTGTTCCAAAAACGCAGGCCTCCGCTGCTTGAACTGAGCATAATTTCCACCAGCGGTAGTAGACCTTAGAGGGCCAGCCATCAGTGGGGTGGTGTGCTTATTCCCATGGGAGCAGGCCGGCCATATCATCCTCCAGTTGAGGGCAGTGGCACAGCCACCAACTAATGCTGGAAGTTACACACTGCGGTATTCAGTTATCTTGTACATAGGCAGAAAAGGAGATGTAGGACAGCAGTGTAATAATATGTTGCCTTGAGTCTACTTCTAACTGCTTTTAGAAGTAAAAAGCGGACTCTGCTGAAATGGAGCTCTGGTTACGACGGGCTAGATCTTCATTTAAGTACAGATTATCTAAATGACATCGAAGACAATTACCTTTAGAACTCTTCAATAGCCATATTTACATGCAAGAAAATGGCTGCAAAGGCCTAACATAATATTTGTACCTCTCTAAGACTTACAGCTTTCATGTTTTATTCAGACAACTTGCACAGACGTGCTGGGCTACATTTCCAAACTTTTGCATGGGATATGCGCTACTGGGAACAGGGGAACGAGCGCATGTCTGCATGCTGTAGAAGTCACGCGCAGATCTACATGCATGTCACACGTAAACTGGGTGCAGACGCTTTTGTTGATTTACACATAGTTTGGAGGACATTTTTGAGTTATGTGGCATTCCGATATACTCAAGCATTACAACTCTTCTGTTAAAATGTGCATTTGGGTAATTAGTATAATATATGTGTATATCAAAATGAATTAACTACTTTATGTAATCATAATGATACTTACTGCTTAATTTACAACTTGTAAATCAAAATATATTTCCTAACTCTTGGAAAAGGCTGCCATTGTATACCGGTGGCAAAGAAGGAAAATCAGAAAGCAACTCAGAAAAGATTATGCTTCCAACCAGTTCACAGAGTAAGACACGCTAGGCCTGATTCACTGTTGTCACTTTATGTTGGAATAACTGCATTAATTTAAGTGGGATAACAGTAGTGCACTAAGTCAATTTTCCTTCCTTTCATTAAAAAAAGAAACAGATTTAACTGAGGAACAAGTTTTCTAAAGATCGGGATTCACCGGTGTTCTACAATGATGAGTAAACTTGATGAGTTTGTTTAAAGAAGAGCAGCTCCAGTCCTACTCTAGCTACAACGGTAATTTTGTCAGCATGAGTAGTCCCGCTGAACTCAGTAGGACTGTACAAGCACGTGCGTTTCACGGGATCACAGGCCTTTAGTGGGAAAAAAGCATTTGTTCTTTTCTGTGACTGTCACTTGAAAAATTCTGCCCCGATTCTACATCTGAATAATTTTTTGGTAAAGGTTCTCTTATGGAAAGAAAATCATACTTACCTGAAGCCTTTTTAAAAATACTATAATCATAGTGTAATTTAAAAGTTGATTTACCTTTATCATTTTTTTATCCATTTTGCCTGTCATTGCTTCCGTGGCCAACAACGTGACATCTGTGGAAGAAGCCTCTCTCACAATTAAATACATTACTGAGGAGGTATGAGTCTGTTATTTGTTAATGGGGTTTCAAAATTACTCATAACTAATCCAAACCATGTATGTGCACTTTTAAATTCTCCTTTGTACATTTATTCATTCCTGGTAGTGTGGATGCAGAGCGGTATGTTACATACACACAACCTGGATACATTTCATGGAAATTAATTTCCAAATTTATCACACTACTGAAAATATATTTTCAATAGAAAAAATATAACAATACTAAAACATTTATTAATCAGATATATTTTTTTATATAAACAAGAGTTTGGGTAACCAGAAAGGAAAGAACAAGGGATTCTTTGGGTGAGGACATTTATTAAAAACATTGTAAATCCAGGATTTTGTGGGTTTATACAGCTTTTTTTGTTGTTGTGGTGGTGCAGTATGACACTTTTATAATAGTTATCTTGATCAAATTTACATTTTCCCCATTTTGGAAACATTTTATTTGCTCTTGCTCCAATTCCAAGCCTGCTATGAGCTGTCACAGCAGGAACAGAGGCTGAATGCTGTCCTAATTTTTTCATTTAAAAACAAACAAAAAACCAACGGGTGTCATTTTTTAAATGAGATTAATTCTGTGCAGGCCACAAATGTATATGTGAAATTAGAGTAACTTTTTTGTTACAGGGGATACTTTCTTCAGGTGAAAATTAGCTCTATTTAGTTATCCTGCATATTGCAGTGTGCGGTTAGAGTTTAAATTTAAGGAAATCTAGTAGGCTATTTTTGAGAATCTGGCCCACATTGCAGAGTGCTTCTTGACTAGAAGTACTCATTGAAAGTTCACAAAATAAAGTGTGCATGATATGCAAGCCAAAAAAAAAAAAGGCAATAAAATGTGGACATAGGGAAATAGTTCTAAGTTATTTACACGTAATAGCCATGTGTAGGTTTTTCTCACAGATCTGATTGTCACTAATCTAGAATAAAATCCCTCCATCTGTACTGTTACCACTACTTGTGTATCACTTAAGCCTCCAAAACATAGCTTTAAGTGAGGGCCTTGACTGCTGAGCAGGACCAGGTTAGTGTCTCTTGGTCGGCAAGTGCACTGCCCAGCTGTCCATCATGTGCCAACCACAGTGCTTCCAAAGTTGACTGACTTGGATGTCCATGCAGCCAAGTGGGGTGGTCATCTAACATGGAAACCATATCAGTCATCCTTACTCAAGCTATCCCGACTTGTCAGTCAGAGCCCTGAGACCTATTGGGAGGAATTCTTCTCACCCAGTTTTGGAGGTCTGCATTTGAGCTAGTCATCCGAGGTTCCCTTTTAATCGATGAAGAGAAGTGGGCCCTTGTAGGATGCGAGTCATCTGACAAATGTAATTATTTACTTCTGGGTTAGATGAATTGTGCCAAAGAAGCACCTGTTTCTCTGCATTCAAAGATATTAAAATGACTAGCTCATATCCAAGCATCTGTGTTTGGTTGGATGAATCTCATGCATTGATTGTATCCAGTCCTTATGCTGAACCTGTGAAAAAGAGAGGATCTCTTTTTCCATAATGCTGGTGTTAAAATTGAACAAGTAACAGCAGAAGGTTTAGTAGATTTTGTTCATGAGGTGTTTGCACATTGGAATTACTGAGAAGCAATGGGACTCCATGAGGTGAAAGGAAGAGAATTGAGCTATGTAATTTAAATTTTTCTTAAACAAAAGTTACCCTTTTTGTTTGCCGTGAATGTAAATTAAGGGTCTGTCCAATAAAAGCTTAGACACATGCTATGCTTTAAGATATCGGCCAAGACTTTTCAGCAGAAGGCAATCCTTGAATTGTAAATAGTGCACTCAACAATAAATTCAACTAAATTAGTTCCTCTGGACAAAGCATTCTGTGTCCAAAATTGTATTAGATATTAGCTGGATTATTCTGACATGGAACTCATAGACTGTAGTACTTTGATTTTTCTGTAATTTAAGACTGACTATGCATTTTCCATTTTTTATATGATGAGCCTAATACTGGGCTCCATTCATTTCTTTTTCAATGCAGATTCATACAGAATCAAAAGGTGGGTCATAAGTAACGTACAGACACCCTTTATTCAGATGCAGTAGAGATTTACTACATGGAATAGCTGGGACTGTGGAAGTGCCTAGTATGACTGTATTAATCACATTAATTTCCATGTTCGAATGACCCCATGGGACCATATCAGCCACCAAGGTAAAGCAGCACAGAACATACTTTAACTTGTATTGAAGACAGTTGCTAAATTTCAGCTGGTCCCATTGCAAACCAAAGCATGTATTTAGCTGTTTTAACTCAGCTGATGGAATGGTTCTATAGGACACGTTTTGGCAGATGAGAATTTCTCTTATGAACACAGGATACCAGTAACTACCCCGTCATGGGCTCAGTCTGTCTTGGAATATGTCCTGCAGAGAGTGGAAAGGAGGACTCACTTCTAATCCAGCCCAACGCATCTTTTAGAATAACAAAAGTTAGAGTCATAATAAAAAGTCTGTCTTCCACAGCATCTTCTAGGAAAAGTATTAAAAACAGAGATACTTCACTTATGGCATTTGCACATGGTTGAAGAGCAGTGTATTCTGTTAAACAGT